CCCCTCCTCCAAAGATCCCAGCTGAGATCAGCCAGGGCTGGAGGAGGTGTGTTTGCTGAGCAAGCAGCTGCTGTTTGCACAGAGGGGATTCATCAGGCTACAGTTTGGTTGAACTTTGTCCTGGGGATCACATAGGATAACTTGTGAGCCCCTTGCCTCCACTGCCTTGGCTTTGGATCCCTTTCTCTGCCAGGGGCCAAGGAAGTGACCTTCCTCTGGGCCATTTATTTCTCTCTTTGCTGCCTTTCTCATGGTTATCCTCTGGATCTTCTACAACACACTCACCCAGGGCAGCAGGCAGGACACCTTGGAAGGGCTCCTATCCCACCAGGCAGGTAGCTGGGTAGGCTCAACACATTCCTTGGTGCTTCTCCCTGGGATGCTGTAAGGAGCCAAGAGCTGCTAGTTACAAACCCAACTAATTCTCTGTGAGACAGGGCTGAGGGAAATGCAGATGCCATGGGATGTTGATCAAGGCAAGGAGCATGGAGGCACAGTGTCCATGCTACCACTATTGGCTCCAGTTGTGCAGCAGAGCAGGCTGTGGACACCTTTCCCTTCTCAGAGAGCAGATTTAGGTTGAAGGCAGCCCAAGTGAGGCACTCACCCAGTGAGGCTCAGCTTTACCTGGGAAGTAGAGGAGAACTGAATAGAAACAGTGTGCCAGGACCAACACCCCAGGAGGAGCCTTTTCATCTCCACATCTGCTGATCCCATCTTTGAAAAGACTTTCTGAACAAGGAGAGTGCAGGTCCAGGTTGGGAAGAAGTTAAGGGATATGGAGAGAGAGACTAGAGCACTGCAGGCTGTTTGGCATTGGTAGGAGAAAAGGGGGAAGCCAAAGACATGTGCGTGGCTTAAAGTGGCCTGGGACAAGTTACAGGCATGAGGTCAGATCACAAAGAATGGAAGAGCTCTGCTGGTGTCCCTGGTTTCCACCAGGGAATGGGTGTTAGTGCTCAGAGACCTTTGAGCCCTTGTCCTTCTCTTAGTACAGGAGGTGTCTCTTCACAAAGGTTTCTCAGGGAGTCTAGGAGCATTTTCCTTTGAGGAGATCTACACCAGGAGACAGTGCATAAGGCTTTTCTTCATCTTTATATTGCTCCTTAAGCTCAGCTAATCTAATGGATCTTGATCTTATAGATCTCTGCTTTCTCCTTCACCATCAAAGCCTCTAAGTGATGCATGAACATGAGAGTTTGACAACTGTGAACTGGGTGAGGGCTGAGTTAAATTAAAGGGCAAAAAAAAAGGAAAAATGGGATCTTTCCTCAAAGTGGGAACCCATCTTGCCATGTGTTAGAACTCAGGAAGCATTCCCAGGTCAAGCTGTGTGGGTAGAAGGAGCTGCTGTTCCTGGAGTGGAGGGCAGGATCCCAAGATGCTGGAGTTTGCTTCTTGGCTCAGCACCCTCTTGTTGAAGGTTGCAGCTGCAGGAAAGTTTAGCAGACTCAACACCTCCCTGAAAACATTCAGAAGCTGATGATGTCCAAGGTTTGGGCAGGAAAGTGAGTTTAGCAGACTCAACACCTCCCTGAAAACATCCAGAAGCTGATGATGTCCAAGGTTTGGGTTGGGATACCAGTCCTTGGCTTGTCCCCTCCAGCCAAAACCATGTGCTATGAGCTGGAAGAGCAGCTTTCCATCCAGAGAGCCCTGAGCTCTCCATCAAGGTGCCCCAGCAGGGGGGAATGTCCCTGCCAGAGGAGTCCAGCTGTGCCCACCCCCTGCACTTCCCATCACACCTTTCCACCCCCTCCTCTTTTATTTTTAAGCAGTCACCTGTGACCAGGAGAAATTGCATGGTGGCTGCTGGATAAATGAGCAACCTGTACTTTGGCATTTGTGAGCACAGCAGATTGAACCTTAACTTGTAGAGAGTTAAAACAAAGCACAATGGCCCCTTCTTTTGGCTTCTCCAGTTTATTAACTCCTCTGTCACAGACAGAGCCTGCGTGTGTTGCTAACAGAAACACTACAGTAATGAGGAAAAAGCTGATTGCTTTCCTGGTGTAAAATGCTCTCCTTGGAACCTGTGTGCTGCTGTGCTCCTAAAATCTGCTCTAGCATCCCTGGTGACAAGGAAAGAGACGTGGGTTGGGAGTTCCAGCTTCTCTGGAGCCTGTCATCATTACACAAGTCTGATGTCCTTGACTAAAGGCCAGCGTGGTCTTTTCGTGGGGATTTCCCACCCCGAGGGGAATGTGCTGGAGGAAGAAGAAACCTTGTTTGTAATAGGATCTCCACAAAGCCTTTCCTGCTGTTTGGGCATGTTATTTTTCCGTGGCATGTTTATAGAAGATGGTGTTGATGTCAGCTCAGGGCTGTGGGACGCCCTAGGGAGCCAGCAGGCAGTAAAAACTTTGGGTTCAGTGGGCAAATCTTTATTACTGCCTGCAAAAAATAATCATCCAGGTTAAAGTGGGATGTAAATGGACTGCCCTAAAAGAGGGTGGGCTCCTCTTTTCCATTCCCTGCTCTAATCAGGAGATAGTTTTGTGTTTTCTCTCCTAGGTGCCAGGGAAGCACAAGAAGGGCTGACTGCCCCCCGAGGGGTGGGCACGGCTGGGTGGGCAGGGAGCTCCTCCAGCACTGTCTCCATGCAAGGTGAGCAGGATGGGCCCTGGGATAGGAGCTGGGGTCAGCCCAGAGTCCAGATCCTGGTGGTCACCAGGCAGGTTTGAGGTTGGGATCCCATCTGGGGACTGTAGCAGGGTTGGACACAGCCTGGGGACCACTGGGCGGTGGCCAAGCAGGTCCAAGGTCTGGCTGGGGAGCTGGTCTGTTGGTTGGGGTCTGTATCAAGAGGGCTATGGCCAGGCAAGGCCAGGGCTGTGGTGGAGCTCCTCCAGTGCTCCTCCAGCATCACTCAGTCATGGGCTGCTGGACTCAGCATGGACAGGCTGCTGGGGCTGAAAAGAAGAGGATGGGGTTGGAAGAGCTGCTGTCTCTTGCAGCACCACACAGCTGCCCAGTGTTTCCAGACCAGACTTCCCAACAGGAGCTGGTTTTCCCCTTCCACTGGGATTCAAAGCTGGTGGGACAAAGCCACCTCTCCCTGTGTATCAACACCAACCATTGCACCTACTCAGCACAGCCACGTTTCCCCACTTTATGCAAATTTTAGCAAAACATCTGAAGCAAGAAGTTCTTCTGGTTACTTCCCTCTTCTTGCAACACTTTTGGGGAGCTGTTAGGGCCCTGTCACCCTGGAGCTGGGTTTTGCCAAGGATGAGACACCCCCACGAGCAGAGCTTGCAGCCACTGATGGGTGGACACTGCTGGGGGGGGTCTGGGAGTCTGGGAGAGGGCTGCTAGGTCCTGCTGATCATTCCACCCCAGACCTTCCAGCCCCAGCCAGACATGTGCCCCCAAAACCCCCACACCTCTCCCTAGGATTAATGCACCTTTATCCCTGCAGCTGGAAATGTTGATAGGATTAAAATGCCATAGGAGTCTAAAAGCCCACAGGAGGGGGTTTGAAATCTGTTCAGCTTGACCTTTCCTTCTCCCCTCTCTGCTCTTAGCAGTCCCAAGACTTTTATTATTTTCCACATTGCAAAACAGTAATTACTGGAAGGGAGAAGGTGGTTTGGGAGCCAGGGTCCAGCAGTGCCTGCGGGGGCCGTGCCAGCCCCGGGGCAAACAGGGAGAGGAGAGGCCCCTGGATTTTATCTCAGTGAGAACATCTTGACCAGTGTCCAGGAAACAAATTCCTCTGATGCTTGGGTGGGAGAGGGGGAACTGAAAGGTCAAACCTGCCTGGGGGCTCCTCAGGGATCCCTGTGGGCAGGGGAGGTCTTTCGTGGATGGCGTGGTGGCCACCAACTCTGGCAGGGGTTGGAAGGTCAAGACCCCTGGGCAGAGGGTGTCTTGAGTTGGTGGTAGGGTGGTGACCAGTGTTGTCAGGGAAGAGATGCCCTCCAAGGCCCTGAGCCCAGTGTTTAGTCATGGGTGTCAGCCATTGACCTCCAAAGGGTGAGATGTTTGCATGGCTGCTGAACTGCCAGCTCTGCATCTGAAAAATCTCAAGAGCAGAAGGAAAATTAATTTAACTAGAGTTCAAAGGATCTCCAATAAAGACTAAGCCTGGCTGTTATTCTGGAGCCTTATTTCCATTAATTCCCTTTAATGCTGCTTTAAAATTACAAAGTGGAAGGGACTTCTGGCCAACAAATTGTATTTTTTTGTGTGTGGTTTCAAAACCCCTATTAATCAGTGAGGAAATGTATTGGCCATAAGAGTGTTTAAACAGGAGGGTGGCTTCAACCAGGACACATGTCACAGCATGTAGCTGTGGTGACAGTTTAAAAATTAGCTATTGTGAGGCACCACATATGGTCAGGGGCTCAGTATTAATGATTACCATGAGTTAGCTGACTGGAAAGGGCTTGAGCAGCAAGTGGCAGAGTTCAGCTTGACCCACTGCTGAGCTGACCCTTTTCCCATTCATTTAATGCCCATTTCTGGCCAGAGTTGCTACCCAAGAGCTGAACACAATGCTTGGGCACGGTGGTGGGTGGCCATGCCAGCCCAGCTGGGCTGCCTGTGAGCTGCAGAGGACAATAAGAGGTTCAGATCCTGCTCCCTGGGCTAGATCCAGCAGTGAGAGCTGCTCTAGCAGCCAACCAGCACTGCCAGCCCCAGGGTTTGTGCAGCCAGAGCTGCCCCGTGAAGCTAGTTCAGGAGTCTTCCCTTCTTGGTGTCTCTCCTTGCTTTCTCCTTGTGTGTCCTCCTGCTGCCAGTGGCAGCTCTGTGCCCACAGCTCCTGCAAAATCTCTCTTGGTCCATCTGGACCACCAGCATCTCTCTGCAGCACGTGTAGGGCTGCTCCTCAAGCAGGGCTGGCTGTATCTGCCAGGAGCTTTCTTCTGCTTGCCTCATCGATGTCCTCCTGCTCCTCTGGCAGCTGAAGATGTGGGACCCAGCTGGGTGTCCCCTCGGGGTGGTTCTGGTGCATCTACAGGTGCATCTCCTGCTTCTCTGCTCTTACCTCTCACCATGTGGTCTTCTTCACCAGCTCCACCATCACCTTGCCTGTCCCCATCCCAGTGACCTGGGCTCTGTGACCACAGGGGGACCCCTCTGCTCACCCCCTTTGTCCCTGGATGTGTGCAGGGGGGGGTTATGTGAGCAGCAGGTCCCTCCTCCTCTGGAAATAAGCCACTCTTCTTCCTGTTCTCAGCCAGCCACATCTTCTGGGCTCCTCCAGCATCTTCTTGTGGGAACGTGGTGCTGTGGAAACGCTCTGACACGTCCCCCAGAGCAGGACAGGAGCATTTTGTGGCCAGAAGAGTTGTGCAAGTATGGTCTGTGCCCTGGTATGGCACCTGGGGTCCTGTGGGAAAGGGGCCAAGGGCACTGTGGCCATGCAGGGCAGCTGGTGCTCCTGCTCTCTCTTTCCCAGCTATCAGTAGACACTAGTTGGTTCCCACAGATCTTTGGAAGATAGAGGGGGAGGGAGGGTGAACGTTCTCAGGCTCCAGGCACTCTGTTTGCAGGCGTGACTTCAGCAACCGTGTTCTTCTGCCTCCCCCCCCAAAAAAAAACCCTTCAAGAACATCACCCAAGGCTCCCCAGGTTGCACAGAGTTGCTGGTAATCCTGTTAAGCTTTGGGTTAATGAAGCAGACTGGAATCCTTCCTTAGGAGGAATGGCTCTAATTGTATATCTGAGAGGGGGAGTGCTGCATGGAGTGTTGGCTGGCAGAGCAGAAACCACCCCTGGCTTCAGCAGTGGGCCTGGAGAGTTGAAGGTGGCTTGGTTGAGAGAGGAGGTCAAGCAAACCCATTTCCTCATGGGTGCTGGACCAACTGGTGTGTGCTGGAGGGGGGCTGGGCATGGAGAAGGTGCAGGGCAGTCCCACTCTCCTGGAGAGCTGCTATGCAACCAGAAAGGGGCAAATTGGTACCTCCCTGTCGAGCTTGACCTTCGTTTGAAAATGCCAACGTGCAGTGATGGGACATGGGGAGCAGCTCTGGACAAGAGGCCACAGTCTGCAGCTGGCCCGAGAGCTCTGAGCTGGGAAGAGCTGCTTCAAACTGACAGAGAGCTCTTTGTTTGCTCTGGGCAGTTTGGAAATGAAGCAAGACTGAGAAGCAAATATTGGTTCAAACTTCAGCTCCCTCTCTCCAGTGGCCAGTTAGCTCATCCTAGCTAGAAAACAGCTTATTGCAACACGGTCAGAACCTGACACCAACTATTTCTCCTAAGCAGTGGGGAAACTGGTTTGTAGCATTTCCTGAAAACTAAGCTAAGTGTGAGGGTGCTGGAGTTGGGGCACAGCTTCAAAACTGACCCATGGGTCTGAGCAGGGGGTGAAAACATCTTTCTGAGAGCTCCTGCAAGAGCCTGACCGGGAACTCCTCCAGTGATGAGGCATCCACTTCTCTGGACGACCTGTTTGAGTGTCTCACAGGCCTTGTTGTGAAAAATTTTGTCCTTATATCCAATGGAAATCTCTTTTCTTTCATTTTAAAGCCATTTCCCCTCGTCCTGTTACTGCAGGGCCTGGTAAAAGTTCTCTCTCCATCTTTCCTCTTTGCTCCTATCCTATATTGTAAGGTCACCATAAGGTCTCCCTGGAGCCTTCTCCTCTCCAGGCTGAACACCACCAACTCTCTCAGCCTGGCCTTACAGCAGAGGTTGTTCCAGCTCTCTGACAGTCTTTGTGGCCCTTCTCTGGACCACGTGTCAGTCTTCTGCTGGGGGCTGCAGCACTCCAGGTGAGGTCCCACCAGACTGGGGTGGGGAGGTGGGGTCACCTCCCTCGACCTCCTGACCCCACTGCAAGATGCAGTTGGCTTTCTGGGCTGCAATTGTACCAGCTCAGGACAAAGGGCAATGGCTTTAAGCTTAGAAAAGGGGAGATTTAGGTTAGATGTTACAAAAAAGTTCTTTAATATGAGGGTGATAGATCCCTGGAACAGGTTGCCCAGAGAGGTGGTGGAGGCCCCATCCCTGGAGACATTCAAGGTCACGCTTGATGAGGCTCTGAGCATCTTAACCTAGTTGGAGATGTCCCTGCTGATGGTGAGGGGTTGGACTAGGTGGCCTTTGGAGGTCTCTTCCAACCCAAACATTCTGTGATCCTGTGACCCAGCACCATTGTCTCCCACCTCTTGCAGTGGGCACCATTCCCAGCTCAGTGCTCATCTCAGGCTCACATCTCGCCCTGGGCTGTGGGGAGAGGAGCAGGGAAGATGGTCTGGCAAAAGGGCTTCCCATCAGGCTGGTCTTCTTACCTCCATCTGCTGTGACATGACCTGTGGGGACAGGACAGGGACTTTCCATGGTCAACCAAGCTGACATCCTTGTTGAGGGCAGGCTCCAGCCTTCTCCAAGCCATAAACTAGAAATTCCCATTTCTAGAGGGCAACCAGCCAACTCTCTAGACAAGCCCAAAGTCCTGATGAGTGTATATTGCCCTCTACCCTTGGGCCAACCCACCTTGAGGTTTGATTCATTCCTTTTTCATTTTTTTTCCCCTTTTTCAGTGCTTTTTCTCATTAATATCTCAAGGAGAGCTGTGTTATCATCACACAACTGCCAGCCCTGGGAACAGCAGCAATAGCTCCAAAGACCTCCACTGCTGGACAGCATCCCCTCTGCAGAAATAACCCTTCCAAAGAGTGGGGTAAGATGCCTGTGTTGGTGTGCTGCCTTCATCACAGCTCTCCCTCTTCCCACTTCATGTTTTCCTCCCATGCACACACCCCCAGAGCTCAGCTCCAGCCTCTGGCTCCAGGATGAGCTCTGCCAAACCCTCTCCCAGACACTCTAACTTTATCCCAGCCCAATTACCACCAATATCCTTTCCTTAGGACACAACCCAAGCTTCAGCCCAGCCTTGTCTCGACCACAAACCACAACGTGGTTTGCAGTAATGAGGGAGACAGAGAAATAAGCACTTTGCCTTCAATTTTACCTAGCGTGGGGCCAAGGCCTGTTCCTTTCTTGGGGTTCAGATGTGTTTGTGCACCACCAGTGACCCGTGGTTGCTCAGGGGGGGGGTGCTAACTTGTGTTTCTTCATCATTCACGTCATTTTTAGCAGCATCCTCTTGTTGCAAACAGAGCAGCTGGGAGCTGTGGTGTGGCAACACAACGAACTTGGGATGGGTGACAGTAATTCAGCTCCTTTCAGGAAGATGCACACTCCAGAAGATGTGATCCTTGCTGGGTAAGAAGGACCAAGTCCAGGAGGCACTTATTTTCCTCTGTCCTCTCTGGTAAAGCTGCTCCTGCTTGCACGAGCCAGAACATTGAGCTCTTACCTTGAAAGCCAACAAGAATTCCCATTGTTAGGAAGATCTAACCAGAACTTGCAGGAATGTGTGGGTGTGTTTAGTGAGAGAGAGGACTCACTGTGTGAACAAGTGTGCATTTTCCAACACAAAATTTGGAAAAGCAGTTTTCTGGTGGATGTTCAAGAGAAGAAGTTGGTTGCACTAAGGAATTTGTTCCTCCTGGGCTCCAAAGGGAAGACATTTGGCAGCTAGAGGCTACCCCAGGGTACTTTTCCCTTTGCATCAGAGGCTTCCCTTGGTGGGATATACTCCTCAGAAAGGAGCATCTTGGTGTCCTTTTGGGTTTTTTAGAGATCAGGGTCTGGGTCTTCAAGCCCAGGTGGTCTAGAAGACACATCACCTAGAGGACACATCACCTAGAGGACACATCACCTAGAGGACACATCACCAATCTGCTGTACTTCTGCCATTGGGTACCTCTGAGGCAAGCTGTGTGTTGGAAGAGTTTCTTCTCCCCAAAGCTGCTTTAGATCAGGCTGGAGCAGTGGATCTTGGTCACAGGAGAGGCAAAGGCACTGAGGGAGTAGCCACAAAATGGGCACAGACCAGGAAGTGAATGGAAATCCACTGTGGAGGAAAGTAGAATTTGGTAGCATCAAAAGGAGGTACAGAAGTTGCTCTGTATGTGGCCAGTGACTTTCCAGATGACTAGTGGCTGGAGAAGTGGAGGTATGGGACTCTACTGGAAAAGGCTGGAGGACAAGAAGCAAGCAGTAAAATCTCTTGCAGTTCAAGACCTCCTTCACCTCTGGATTTACCCTGATGCCATCTGAGAGGGCAAGGGAAAGGGGTGTGGAGTGGAAGCCACCCATCATATGACCTCATCAGAGCCCTTCAAAGGGTGCAAATGTTTTCACCATCATTTATGGGCTCAGATAACTGCTTGTGGAGTGGCACTGGGCTTTCCAGGCTCTTTCAGGGTCTCTGTTAGCAAAGTCATTTTGGAACAAGCTGGCTAAAAGCTGTGGAAAAACTTTGTGGGACAGCCTCTTGTGGGTCCCTGTGTCTCTTCTTCCCATGGATGGGGGACATGGCTAAGGCTGAATGAAACAGGGATTTTGGATTTAATTTTTCAAGAGTGAAACAGGGAGTTTGAGGTTCATTTTAGTGGCATTTATGTTTCTCAGTGGAGAAAGACCTTGGAAAGCCACAGATTGAGTAAATACAGTTGGGAGATGACAGTTTTTTAAAAGGGAAGGAAGGCTTGTGGTGGGAGCAAGTCATTCCCCTCCTGTTGTGGTGTGTCTGAAGATGCTCTGGACACAAGAAGAAAAGCAGGGGATGAGAAATAGGAACTAGCCATGCTGAAGGAACTGCTAAAGATGATGCTGAAACAACCAATATGGCCACAAACAACTCTCACTCAGAGTGTAGGGACCTCCAGCAGCCAGAATCATAGCTAGGGCAGGCTCACAGTGCCACGGTGGAGGTGGTCCTTGCTGGAGGTCTCCATCAGTGCTCTTCCCTGGGTCACTTTCTAGAGCCATGGCCTTGACCTGACACTGGGCTCCCACCTGCCCTGAAGCCACTCTGGCCACCACCACCCACCTGCAGGTTGCTGTGGCCTTGAGCCTGCTGGGAGGAGGGAGAAGAGACAACCCTGAGTGCTTCCAGCCAGCCTCAGCCAGGAGTTCACTGTGGGCAAGTTCCTGACACTACTGCCTGCTGGGTGCAGGCAACAGGAGAGGAAGAACCTGTGCAAGGGGTCCAGAAGATCACAAAGAGAGGTTGGTGCTCTTGAGAGGAAGCCTGAGAGCTGGAGCTCACTGCTGGGCTTCCTACAGCTCTCTTGTAGCTTGGACCATGTTGACTAGACACAGGAGGTGGACCAGCCCTAGCAGCAGCTGTCTAGGAAAGCTGCCAGGGTTTGTGGGATAACTGATGTGCTCCCCATCTGCTGTGCACGTGCCAAAGTCAACCAGAAAGATCTATTCCAACCTAAACAATTCTATGGTTCTGTGAAGCTGCTCTTGTACCCTGCAGCAAAAATCAGGACGTTGAGCCTGGGACAGCATCCTGAAGGCAGATCTTTGTAAACCATGGCCATGCCCCACTGGTCCTGGCCACGGGGAGGCAAATGAGGAGCTATACAATCTGATGGAGAGGTTTTGCAGAGGAAGAGGGAGGAAGATGACTGCTAATCTCAGCACCCCTTCCCAGCTTCATCCCAAGAACTCCACAAAGGTGCAGGGCACGTATGGAGCTGCCTGGTCCCTGTCCCCTGACTCTCATCACCCGTGCCAGGAGCTGCCCAGTAAGGCTGTGTGGGGAATATTGACACTTTCTAAGCCTGTTCCCATTGCCAAGAGAGCCCAAGGGAGTGGGCAGGGAGTGGAGGTGCTGAGAGCCAAAGGGTGATGGGCACAGCAGCAGTTACTGGCAAACACGCAGAACTCAGGGCTGGCTCCAGCTGGGGCTCTCTCAGATTAGGCTGTGGGAGGCAGCAGGGGGGGGGCTAGCACAAAGAAAATGCCCCTCCTGTGGTGCTCTGACCCGCAGGGGAATTCAAACCTCCCAGCCTGGGAATTTTCCACCCGAGGCCCCTTGTAAAATGAAAAGCACCTTGCCCTGCTCCAGACGCCTGCCTGTGGAGAGGTTCAGTGCCAAAGTGAAAGGCTTCCTAAAAGTGGGCTGATCCAGGGAGGGGGACAATTTAGGAGCTATTGAGAAACCAGGAAGGACAAACAGTGTTAGGTCATTGCTTCTGCAAACACAGCCAGGGCTGTTCCTCTATAAAAAGGAGAGAAAACAGTTCCAGAGCCATCACAGACCCGGAGGGGACGGTCTGTGACCAAGGCTGCTGCTCCCCCTCCTCGGCACCCGACCCCCTGCTCCACCATGAAACTCTTCCTCTCCACTCTGCTGTCCTTTGGGATAGTGGGTAAGTGTCTGCTGAGAACACTTTTGGGGGAAAGGATGAGCCAAAACCTCCCAGGAGCCCAGGCTATCCCCCCAGACGAGGCTGTTTTCTGGCTGCAGCATGTGCCAGCCCCAGGCAGAGGGTGAGGAAAAGCCAGGAGGTGAAGCCCTGCTTGCTTGGGCAGCTGTGGGTCTGTCAGCAAGGCTGGTGCTTGGAGCATTAACTCAGCAGCTTTTTAACTGGGCTGCTCTGCAGCTTCCCCCAGCAAGCTGCCGAGGAGGGATGCTCTGGAGAGGCTCTGCCCTGCCATGGGGTGAAGGGAAAATCCACCCTCCAGCCAGCTGCTGGGCTGGGAGAGGAGCTGAGCTTCAGCCAGGGAACTAGAGCAAGACCTGCCTGCCAAGCCTAAATGTGTGCTGGGTTAAACTTCAAGGCAGTGACAATAAAATAGACTTTAGGTGATGAAAGGCTCTGAATGCTTCCCACCCTGGAGCTCTCTGTGGCTCTGTCCTGCTGCTGCAGCTGCACTTGGCTTGGACTCCTCTGTGTTTCATGCCTCAGAGCTGGCTCTGCTTGAAGCCATTATTTCCCTCCTCTCTCTCTCTGCTCCTGGTTTTTGGCAGGCAATGGGCAGGTAGCCACGGCAAGGGAATTGCTGCTGTCTGCTCTGACCTGGAAAGAGGGGTCCCCTTCTCAGAGCAGGCAAGGGGGCTCCTCTGAGCCCCATAAAGCATGGGCAGGATTAACATCCTCTGGTGGGAAGCAGTCCCTGTGCTGCTGGCATACTTTGCTGAGTGCCAGCATGCAGTGATGTCTTATTAACAGTGGAGTCCATCCTCCTGCCCTGCACAGAAGTTGTCCAAAAACTCTGCAGCAGAGGCCGTGGCACTTGGGCACCCTTTGCCATCCCCATGTCCACCCATGTAGCCAGGCTGATGCCCTCAGGAGGTCCCTGTGCAGTCTCTGCCCAGGGCAGGATGGTGGCCAGCACTGGATGAAGGTGGCCATGGCTTTGTGCAAGCCAAGATTTGAAGAAAACTAGATGGTGGTAGTTGGAAATAAGGCTAAGGATTTTCCCTGTAGCCAAATTCAGCATCTCCAGTGAGAGGAGGGGTTTGTGCTGGTCACACAACTGCAAGTTCCCAGCATTTCCAGTGCTTGCATTGCTGCAGGAGGTGTGACTGTGCCCACCTGAGGTCTCTGCTCTGGTCTGCTGGTTGGGGGACTCTCTGGAGAGAGGATAGTGGTGGTGGTGTGGTGTCACTGCTGCTGTGGAGGTGAGATATAAAGAGACAGTTCAATCTATCACACCAAGATCCTGAATATACTCTGGCCAGGTCAGGGCTGCTCTCCTCTCTCTGGGGTCATTTGCAAAGACACTGCTTTAGTGACCTCCCTTTTTTCTCCCTTTTTGCCAAGTCTTGAGTCTGATTTCTGTTGAAGTGTGTGGGTTTGTTCTCATCCTCCTGTGGCTGTTGCCCTGAGCTCGGGCTGCCGTGCAGGACACCCATCACCCATGGAGAGGAATGATGCTCCCAGATGTTGCTGAAGGTGGACACATGAGACAAGAAACATCCTTCCTGCATGACTGGGGAGATGTGCAAGGGCTCTCACCTGAGGCTGGGGTGCAGGGAACTAGAGACCATGTCCTCAGAGATGCTTTTTCTCTCCGTGTGGTGCCTTATCGACCTCTCTGACACGATTTATGTCCTTTCTACAGCTCTGTGTTTTGCTGCTCCCCCCAAGACAAGTGTTAGATGGTGCACAATATCCTCAGCAGAAGAGAACAAATGCATTACTCTAAAGGACCTCATGCAACAGGAGAATGTTGCACTGAACTGTGTGAAGAAACCCTCATACCTGGACTGCATAAAAGCCATTTCGGTGAGTGGGCAGCTGATGTCTGTGCTGGGCACTGAGGAGGTTTCAGCAGCCTGGAGTAGGTTGAGGTTTCCTTGGAGTCACCTGGGATTCCTCCTGCAGAAAGGATTCCCCAACAAGGACCCAGGAGAGCCTCTGGGGAAGCATTTCTTCCCTCCTACGTCCCCATTCCTTATTGACCAAAATCTTTCTGTTGTTTAGAATGATGAAGCAGATGCCATTAGCTTGGATGGTGGCCAAGTTTTTGAAGCAGGCCTTGCCCCCTACAAGCTGAAGCCCATTGCTGCTGAGGTCTACAAACAAAATGGAGGTAAAAACTCTCACATTATTTCTGTTGGGTGTCTGAGATATTGCCCTTGGCTTCCAGACCCCAGAGGGGAAGGAGTGGGGGGCAGTTACCCCACAATGTGAATCATTACCCATGGCCAGAGGGTCACTGCAAGGCAAAGGGGTAGAGCCAGTGCCCTGCTTCTGATTTTGGCTGTGAAGAAAGTCACTGATCCCATGATGATGCAGTGGCCAAGGAGGGAGAGCACCATGAGCAGAAATTATGGTCCTCCTGGAGCAGAGCATAAGGATTGTGCTGGTCCAAGAGAGCTTCTGCTTTCCATGATCTTGAACTGCACAGGTAAGATGCTGAGCTAGACAGCACAGATAACCTGCCTATCCTTCTGCACAGTCATAAAGCCAAAAAAAAAGGTTGAAGAGGCAACAGCACTGCCACTAGTGGTTGTGGGAGAACACCCAGCTGAGATTACTGAGGCAAGAGGTGCAGGCAATGCACAGAATAAAGAAGAGAAGTACAAAAAGTGCTCTGCAGGAATTGCTTTTGATAAGGGTTAGCTCCTTGGCTTCATCCCTCCTCGGTCTCTGCATCATCCTTTCTCTCTCCACCTTTATTTTGAGATCTGAACAGATGCTATTTCCCCATTTTTGTCTCTCTCACATCATGCCATCCCACCAAGTCCAAAGTTCCCAATCTTTTTTGACCTCTGCCCTGGAGTTCAGCTTGTTTGCATACAATAGTCAGAACCAAAGCAACACAGCAGAGTCATCCTCAACACAAGACCATGGGTGTTTAAGCAAAGTTGCTAATTATTTGGAAGTGCATCTCTTTATTCTCTGAAATAGGGGGGTGACAGGACTTGGAATATTCCCATATCTTGCTTTTCCATGGCTTTTTTCCTGCATTACAGGCTCCACAACTGGCTACTACGCCGTGGCTGTGGTGAAGAAAGGAACAGGCTTCACCATAAACGACCTGCAGGGCAAGACCTCCTGCCACACAGGGCTGGGCAGGTCTGCTGGCTGGAACATCCCCATTGGCACACTCCTCCACAGGAAAGATATCAAGTGGGATGGCAAAGACTCAGCCTCCATTGAGCAAGGTGAGGTGGGACATGGAGATAAACGGGTTGTTGTTAAGACAGGGGTGGTGGTTCCACGAAAACAACGTTGTCCTATCTTCTGTGGAGGTCCAGAGGTGTCCCACAGAGGAGTCGTGTCCTCTGCATTCTTTGTGCATCCCCTCCTTGCTAGGTAGAAAGTGAATTTTGGACTAACTAGTCCTTCTTTCTCACCCACAGCGGTGGCAAACTTCTTCTCTGCCAGCTGTGTGCCTGGTGCCACCTCTGATCAGAAACTGTGTCGCCAGTGCAAGGGCGACTCCAAAACCAAATGCTCCCGCACAGGACCTTATTCTGGATACTCTGGAGCTTTCCAGTGAGTGAAAGTTATGTTTCCTTTGGGGAAATACTCTCACCTCAACGCTTGCCAGGTTTTCCTTCTGCCAGGGGAGGGCTGTGTGGTAACCAGGGGTCCTGAGGAGACTGGGCAACTGGGAGTGCTGGGCATTGGAGGTCCAGTGAGCAATAACTGGGAGAGAGAGACAGGCAGTTGGGTTGTGTGGTTCTGCACAGACCTGAGTGCTCAGCATTAGCCTTGTGCTAAGTTCTGGAGCATTATTTCTCTGCCATTACATTTTCTTCCCTGCCAGCATAGTTTTTTTGGGGGGAAAGATCACTGCTCTGCAGCTGGAGTTTGTGCCAAAGGGATTTGCTGAGACAGGGGACAGGGAACTACATTGTCTAGCTTTTTAACATCTTTTCTGTCCCTTCCACCTGCAGCTGTCTGAGAGATGGAAAAGGAGACGTGGCTTTTGTGAAACACACAACTGTGGAAGGTAAGCCTGCGAGACCATTTGTTTCTCTCCTTTCTAGTCCAACCTGTCACTGCCTCTCTATCCTGCAATTTGTCTACACTGTGCAGGCTTTCATTCCTCTCCAGCTTTGCCCTAAACCTCTTCTTTCATCTCCAGAAATGTTTTGCACGCTGTGGACTGACTCATCCTTGTTACTGAGAAATATGCTTATGATGAAGTCCACTTTTTCTTCTTTGTCCTTCTTCTTTTGAAGAAGGAAAAGCTGCTTGGTTGAAGTTCAGGGGTATCACTGCTGGTGCCACGTCTCAGAGCCAGCTGTAATGTTACCACAGCAAATGCAGGGGGAGCAGTTCTAGAGGTAATTGTGCTCACCCATCCCTCTGGGAGGGAATTTGGAAGGAATTCAGCTCCTAGGAAGAGTTCACTAACTCCACTTCTCAGAGATGGAGGAGGGCCTGGTACGTGCAGGACACTGAGATAAGTGGAGGGCCACCAAGATGGTCATGGGGCAGGAGGTGATTGGTGGGTGGCCTTGACCAGCCTGGGAAAGAGATGGTTTTGGGGGGACCTCAGAGCAGCCTGCCTGAGGCAGAAGGTGGAGCCAAGATCTTTACAGAGGTGGATAGTGGAAAGATGAGAAAGAATAATCATAAATGGAAATGAGAGATTTGGACCAGAGAGAAGAGGAATTTTTTTCCCCTTGAGGACAATCAGGTGGTAGGACAAGTTGCCCAGGACAGCTGTGCACTCTCCATCCTTGAAGATTTTTGAGATCCACCTAGAGCAAGCTGGTCTGCCCTTGCCTTGAGGTCCCTTCTCACCTGAATTGTCCTGTAACCCTGTGATCTCAGACCTGGGCTCTGTGTTCAGCCTTGATATTGGCTCCCTGCTGGCCTTCACAATCCTCTACAAAGAATTACCCCTTAAGCTTCAACAGAAATAAATTCATTACAAAGATGCCCCAGAGTGGCTTTTTTTCCCCTGTTTTTGTGGTAATGCAACTCATGGTCCCTCCTTTCCTCCAGAAAACGCCCCAGATGAGAAGGATGCGTATGAGCTTCTGTGTCTGGATGGCACTCGTCAGCCTGTGGACAACTACAAAGCTTGCCACTGGGCCAGGGTGCCTGCTCATGCTGTCGTGGCTCGAGATGATAGCAAGGTTGATGACATCTGGAGTCTTCTCTCAAAAGCACAGGTATTGTCAAGCTCTCCTTTCCTTCCCCTGCCAGCCCCTCTCCTGTCTGGCTTTGCTTGCTCTCTTCAGCTTTCCAAGGGCTTTGGTACGGTCGTTTGCTGATTATTTTTTTGGTTGTGACAGGAAAGGTTTGGCGTGGGCACCACCAGCACCTTCCACCTCTTTGGGCCACCTGGTAAGAAGGACCCAGCTCTCAAAGACCTGCTTTTCAAAGACTCTGCTGTAGAGCTGAAACGTATCCCACCACTGATGGATTCCCAGCTCTACCTGGGCTATGAGTACTACAGTGCCATCCAGAGCCTTCAGAAAGGTAGGTAGAACATGAAACACTTAACTCAGGTCATTGAGAAGATGGGACCAACAGATATGTCTGGGCAAAAGGAAAACAATTCTTTCAAACACAGAGAGCATCCTCTGCAAAATATATCCTGTGAAAATATCATTAGAATCACACAGGTTGCACAACTTTCAGTTCCAAAAGGAATTTGTTGATTCCAGAGTCAAAATAACATCCTCACCACACCAACAAGGGTGGAAAATTTACACACAGCTCTCCCTTTGTCCCTTCACCATGATGACAAGGCTTGCCCACAGTTATTCAGCTGGTGGTAGAGACTGGTCAAGACTGCTGCTTAGAAAAGTCATTTCTGGCACCTAAGAGAGAGGAACATCCCAGGACACCAGGTCTAGTTGAGGGAAATAGTGTTCTTTATTTTTATCTAGACTCATCAAGCATTTACTGACATGCTAACTGGCTTTCTGAGGGTCAATCATCTCCTAAATGACCTCCAAAATCCACCTAAAACCTATAGCTGCTCAGAGCTGGAAAGGAGATGGAAAGGGGGGACACGTGGACTTGATGGAGCATCAAACCAGACTATTCAAATGCCACTTCACAGACCCATACCTAGGTGGTGTTTTTCCACCTCTTAGTCTCACGGCCATGGGTTGTAGCCCTGTTTTGCAGCCCCACTCCAGGTTTCTCATGATTTTTTTTCCTCTGCTGCTTTTCCAGACCAGCTGAACTCCAACCGCAGAGAAAACAAGACACGGTGGTGTGCAGTGGGCAAGAGTGAGAAGAGCAAGTGTGACCTCTGGAGCGTGATGAGCAACGGGGAGGTGGAGTGCACTGTGGCAGACAACACCAACGACTGCATTATTAAGATAATGGTAAGGGCTTTTTTCCTCCTTTTCTTTCCCCTCTGAACCTTTCAGATGGAGAGCAGCGTTGCTTCGGGTGTGGGAATCGATGGGGCAGAGAGGGGTTGGAGTTTAAAAGCAAATAGCAGGAGCTTTGTGAGAGATACCAAGGTCATCACAGGGAAAA